TAATAATGTTTGAACTTGCTATTTATTTTTACTGTATAGGTTTGAGGAATGAAGCACAGAATTTATTTACATATTTAAAGGTGCTGGCTGCAACTTTTTTGATGGTGGTCGCAACCATAATTACGTCATATAAAAACGGTTTTTAATTGCAACAGGTATCATTATATATATTTAAACAAGAAAAAATTTTGTCATTCTGTTTTATTATTATTTTATTTGTTAATTTGTTTTTATATTTTTTTTAAATTAATAAATATCACGAATGAATAACACTATATTATTAAAAAATTATGATAACTATTGATTATTTTTTGGTTGGCTCGTAAAGCAGCTATTGGCCTTTGATTATTTTTAGATCGTCGATCATTACAGTTTTTTAAAATTCTGTATTTTGGTTTTTCTTTAGTTAAAAAATTCAATACAAAATTAGATTAGTAACATTTTATTTGCATCGAGATGAGTGAATATGAAATCGAGAGCATTTTCGACCATGAAGTTAAAAAAGTACGTGCATTTTATGATGAAATTTATAATTTCTCTCATCAGAGAAAGTCATGTTAATTATGTTGTATAAAATCTATAAAATTTAGTCGAAATTATATTATCTCGTTAAATGGAAAGGTATTTGCATATTATTTTATATAATCTGTTGATAATAAAAATAGGGCAAAGTGTATATTGATCAATTTGTGATTATTCATTATAGGATATTCAAAAGATCAGTCTTCTTGGATCTATGAAGAAGATTTGTAAATATTCAATTTAAAATTGTTATTTCTAGTGTAATCTAATAATTTAAATTGATTGATTCGTAATAAAGGTACGCAGATGAACTTGTACAACAATATTGGACAAAGCTCCAAAGTTCAAAAAGTAGCAACAAAAGCAATGATATGAGTGGTAGAATTACTAGAAGTAGAAATAAACATAATAAGAATCATAGTTCTGGTCTGTCCAGTTCTAATAGTGCATCAACTATGATGGATGCTAGTTCAAAAGATGTTAAAACAAAAAAAAATATAGAGGGAGCCACAGTCGTAAAAGAGTCAAGACACCAAAAACCAAACAAAATTAAAGTCACATTAGATAAAGATATTGGTATTGATATTGTGATGGTAGATGACGACGATTGGGAGAATAAAGTTTCATCAGTTGAATCTATCATTCGTGACGATGAAACAGAAGAATTGTCTGTATTTCTTAGATGGTATTATTTATATGTTTGTATGTGGTGAATTTATGTGGTTGGTAGATACGTATGTGTATATATATATTTTTTTTTTCTCCTAAAATCATCAAAAATCATTTAGGAAAAATGGAAAAGTTTCAAAGCATTCAACTAAAGAAGTAAATGCCAAATGTCCTCAAAAGGTAGTTTTAATCGTTTAGAAATGATAATGGCTTGTTTATTTATATTATTAATGTGAATCAAAAATATTTAGATTATTGATTTCTACGAAAAACGATTACTCTTCACATCATCACTTCAAAAGAAAAAATAAAAGTTAATGAAAAGAGACCGCTGCTATCTTTAATCCATATCTTTTGCTATATTCGTGTTACGTGAGGAGGTTTTTTGATAATCAGTTCTCAATGTTTATAAAAAATTCAAATTTGTTAATCAAAAATGAATAGAGTTGTTATTAAAAGATGTTTTTATATAACCAAAAAAATTTCAATTCCTAATTCAATTGTCAAAAATTCAAATAAGCTTGTTTCACGTTTAAGTTTTGGTAGTTATAGGATTAACAAGTGGCAAATGAATTACTAACTATTTCTTTAATCTCTCTGACTAGGAGAGACTCCATTGGATATTGAGAGTGTTCTGTCTAGTATATATTGACTGGTGTTAATGGTTTGTGTGGGTGTATAGGTTCTTGAGAAGGGTGGTAGAGCAAATAAGAAGTTAAGAGCAATTTTGGTTCGCTAACAATAGCAATGGCAGCTGCTGAATGAAGAAGATCCCGAGGCTTTACATTTGAATGAAATACATGTTGGGTTGATACACTCAACAGCACATTTACCTTGACACTAGCGATCTTGCCATTTGATAATTCTGTAGGATTGTGCAGGCCTAGTCTGTCAGAAACACCATACATAAGTTTGTGAAGGTTGGTATTCATTAGTCATTCCAACAACGCAATATTTTTTATGCTGTTCCCTCATCTTACCATCACATCTACAAGCATATCCTTTTTTTTATATGAGAATTAACTCCTGTACCAGCTGTACCAATTAACATAACTGGCGGGGTAATGAATGTGATTTTGGACATTCAACTGGATGAGAATATGAGGACTGGGGGACAAGGGATGTGGTGGTTATTACATTTGGTACAAAATCCATCAAGTTTTGAGACAGTGAAGGGGAAGATTATTGAGGCTGTGAGTGTCATGATGGTAAATGTGAAGATGATGGATGATGTTTGAAGTTGGGATTGTGATGATTATAATGGTTTATTTCGAGTTTCTTTTCTGGAATGCTCTTTCACATAATTTTTTTCTGCGGCATCAAATTTTTGTTCATGATCTTTTTGTTTTATTATGTCAATTCTTCAACTGGGACTTGGGTTCTTGATGGATTTTATGAGTTGCATCAAATTTCTGCCATGGTTTGGGCTGTTTTAAGGGTATGTTCCTTTTATGCAAGAGTATGTATAGCTCCCAGTGTTTTCTTATTCTCCAATTTTTTAAGAGAATTCTCTCAACACTTTATTAATTTTCGAGTGTATGAAATCTCATTGATATAAGAAGCTGTGATTTTAAAAGAATATGAGATTTTATTTCATCAAGACAAGGGAGAGGAGGAAGGGAATTCGCAAGAGATTGTCCAGGGATTTTTTATAATTAGGTCCACTCCACATATTTTTTATAGAGGTGACATATTGTCTCAAATATTCATTAATGGCAGAAGAAAGTCCAGCAGGAGATTTAGGAAGGTTATATAGACAACTGACATATCTCTAATTGTTTATGTGATAATAATCCATACGGGATGTTTTTCATTCTCATCATTATCTTGGGGATTCTTGAATGTGGCACATGCATTTTTGAAACGGTCCAAATAATTATCTCTTGTCAAATCGTCAACAACAACATGCTTTCTTTTAATCGCTGTACTTTTTCTTTTCCTTTGATGTTCATTAAATTCTGTTCTGAAAATAGCAACAGGAATTTGATTTCATAAATTGGTGAATCTGAAGGCTTGTGTTTCAGTATAGATATTTTTTATAAGGGGGTTGTGCCCTGAAGATGTGATGATTAAATATTCACTTGCGCCAGTAAAGGAATCAATATTGTAAGGAGACAAAACGCGAATAACTAATTTAATTTTAAAATTAATTTTTGAAATGAGAGACTTGGAAATATTGATAATTGAATAGACAAATTTGTCCAAGTCCTCGTTTAAAAAAGGCAGAGAAGAGTAAATGATCGATTTAAATTAAAATCGAAACATTGGAAATCTTAAAATAAACCCTTAAATATAAACCTTTATTTTATTTTTGTTTAAAGAAATGCTTTGGTAAAAAGGCAACGATTGTGGAGCTTTGGTAAAAGGCCACACTTTATTTGTTTCGTAAGCAAAGGTTAGGACTAACTCCGGATAACTAATGAGTGTTAAGTAAACGTTATTTACTTAGTGAGTAAGCAAATGGTAGTGTTATTGTATTCGTAACCAAAAAACATAAAGCTGTTAAACAAATTGTTTTGTAATAAACCAAGGCGAGATTGAAAATCGGCCTAATAAAAAATTAACCACTGAAATAAATCGTTCGCGAGTAAATAAAAAAAAACTTTGTAGAGACCTTGATCTTTGTAAAAGGGCCATCTTTATTTAGTTATCCTGTACCATTGAGTGTGCTCGCATATTTGCCAAAGCTTCCAGGTACAAAAAGAAACAGTAAGCGAGAACCATAGTAAATTCATAAATCAATTAATCGACAAACACCGAATTCTTACGGACTGCTTCAGTTAACCGACATGAATAACCCAAAAGTTAAGCCATAGTTGTTAAATAAACGTAAATAATTGGTCAACGAAAAAGCTACTATGGAAAATCCCAATTGAATATTTTGATACACAAATTAATTTCCTAACTTCAAACTTAAAACTACTTTTACACATTAATGCGAAACATCTAAATATCTTGATTAAATAAAGATAAATTCATTTTTATTAACTTCACATTGTTGTGTTGTTGCTGCAATTTTAATGAATTGGACTGGTTTAATTGGTTCAATGTTACATAACAAAACAAATGTTGATCTTTAATTAATTAGGTAAAGAATAATAAATTGTATAAAAATGCGTTGAGAGGAAATAAAATAACTATTGTTATTATTGTATCCTTATGTCAATGTGTTAATTGGTGAATTGCTAAATTATTCAAAGCATCAAATTAAAAAAAAAAAATTCAATCATAAGGTAAAAATATTCCTTAATTGGTAAAGTATTTTGTTAATGTACGTACATCTATCATTATAACATGTGTCTTTTTTTTTATATATAAACATATTTCTTCTTATTTTAATAAATTTCTTTCTTCCTGTCCGTTTCTTTCCTCTTGATCTCATAAATCGACCTATCCATTCATCAATCCCACCATTAATTTAATTTAATTTAATTTAATTCTTTTCGTCGCCAATTATTTCACAAGAATCGGGCCTCATGCATTTTATTATAACGATAACAAACAAACAATGTTTGTTTGCGCGTACAAATTAATTCTCATTGTAATTAAGCATATGCGTACATGTTATATAAATGTACTTTTTTTTTTCTAATGAACCTCATCACCTCCTTTCTTCACATAAATCAATTCATTTCATTAATACTCGACAATACCTAATTTTCCTTTCACTGCACAATCCCCTCGCCTCGGGAATTTGTTATCCATTTCATTCTTTCACAAAATACATAATTACAAAACAATTATTCGATTAATTAATTAAATTCGTTCATTCAGTTTATTACAAAGAAAAAATAAATCCGCAAAACAAAATGATTGTTTCTAAAGTTTATTCCATTGCTACTATATTATATTTAGTTTCGTCGCTATTTTCTGCTGTTTTAGTCGATTCGGCTAAAATCGAGTGTATTAAAGGTGCTTCCAGTAAAGATCTCAATGAAAACAAAGAAAGATTTATGATTTTCCTTGAACCTAAAAAAGGATCAACATCCGCCGCCTCTAGTGACTCAGAAATTCTTAAACAACATTTAAATTTTTATAAAGACTGCTGGGATATAGATTCTGCGCCAGCTTTGGAAGAAAGTGATGGAATTGCAACCAAGAGTTTTTCGTCGAATAAATTATTACATTTTTCAGTTGGTTCCCTTGTTGGTTATTTTGGTTCCTTTAATCCTCAAGTACTTAAAGAACAAATCAAAACATTACCTAACATTAAAATAGTTGAAAAGGTAACAAAAGTTAAAGCTTTTGCCGCTATACAAAAAAGAGCTAGTACCGTTGAAAAGACTTCGTTTTATGACTTGGATCGTATAGATCAAAGAAAGCGTCCTTTAAATGGAAAATATCAGTACCCCAGTTCAGCTGGTAGCGGTGTAAACGTCTATGTGATTGATACTGGTATAAATAAAACCAAATCAGAATTTGGCAATCGTGTTAGATTTGCTGGTGTATTTTGTGATGGATGTCCTCGATTTGATGACGAAGGTCATGGTACCGAAGTTGCAAGTGTTATTGGTGGCATCCATTTTGGTGTAGCTAAAAAAGTTAAACTTATAGCTATCAAAGTACTTGATTCAGAAGGTTCAGGAACTTTTGAGGGTGTTATTTCGGGTATGATGTTTGTATTAAAGGAGCATTTAGCAAACAAAAACAAAAACACAGTTATTAATATTTCATTAGGTGGTGGATTTTCTTCAGCAGTAAACAAAGCAGTTAATGATCTTACAAAGGCAGGTATACAAAATATTATAAAGAAAATACCAGTCACACCAAATAGATTTTTATTTTTTCCTCAAAGTTAAAAAAAGAAAATAGACTATTAGAAGTGATAGGACATTTATAACATCGATTGATATTATTCAATAAATTTTTAGTCCGCGCGAAAGCGTTATTTTGTGATTTTTTGTAAATTGGAGTGCATTTGTTTGTTATTCGTGCATAAAAAATATAATTATGCTTTATATAATTCATTGATTCAATTTTCCTTTCGCCCTATAATATATAAACTATTCATTATATTTAGTTTTGTTTTAGTTAATTCAGCTAAAATCAAGTGTCCACAAATTGCTGCCAGTTCAATTAGAAGATACAATCAAATCTAAGCTATCTGGTTTCACTTAAAGAACCAACTGCTGTTACAGAAAGCACAACCAATATGTAACGTCATTTAAATTTTTGAAAGAATGCCGAGGTATAGATTATAAACCAGTTTGGGATGATTATAAGAAAGCTTCGTCTCAAAAGTTTTCCTTGAAAAAAAAAAAAATAAATAAAGTATTGTTGGTTATTATGGTTTATTTAATCCACAATTTGTTAAAAAACAAAACTAAATATGCTACTTTTTAGTAAAATTTTGATATATGATATATGCAAAGAAAATTAAATTTTACCAATAGCTTTGCATGTAACCTTTAATGGGTCCTGGTAAGAGTCACAACAAATTTATTAGCAAATATAGTTAATTACTGGTATTTGAATGACTATCAAAATCTAAATATAATATTTTTGTTCATCTTTTAAAAAAAAAAAAAAATTTTTTTTTTTGATAACAAAATATTTTTAAAAAATTTAAATAATGAAAAACGCTTTCAAAAGTTTCAAAGAAGGGGCGAATATCCCTGGGAATATCCAACATACAATAGATATAAGACATCTTGCTTGACAAGTTTTTTGGTGAAATGGTTGAATGGTTGAAACAATAAATATTAAAAAGCAACTTCAACGTAGAAATCCAATCTCTGATCCTAACAATAATCAAAGAATAAAAACAACAGCATTTCTTTCATCTGTAGTCATAACAACTGCATTTTAAAAAAAGAAAGGTTTGGATTACCCAAATTTTAGCAACATTATGCCACAAACTCAAATTATTAAGTTCTTTATATCAGGTGCTTTTAATATGCAATAGCCCGAATAGTTATCCAACTTGACTTGCAAGAATCTTTGAATGATATCATGAAAGAATCACCAATGTGGTCAAGAACACTTGATAATTTGTTTGGACCTTCTGAATTTATTGGAGAATGGAATGATGATAAAAATTGGATGTACATCATATACATGATGAAATTACCAACTATTCTTTAGAAAACTCTACAATTGTCAAGACCACACCTAATGTTGTAATACTTAAAGCAGGTCCTCCGGCTAATTGTGGTAGAAATGTTTTTGCTACATGCGACCTCTTTAAGAGGATATGGGTACAATAAACGCCTTGACTTAGTTGCTGATGAAGCAATTTTTCGAAAACTTGTACGTTATAACAAAGACCACCCAGAGGTGATTCCTATGCTTGGGCAGCGAGGAAATGATTTAGGATATGGAATTATTAATCTTGCAGCTAAACTTGGTTCCAAATTTTTAGATAAACTGGATGAAGTTGTAGATTACAGAGCAACTTCTAGAACCATAGAATTATTATGGGTTGCTACTGGAATAGCAATTCATCTGTATAAAGAAAAAAGAAATACAGTTGAATTAACAATGAGTCAATCATCACGTGATATTTTATTATAACAAATTATAATAAATAATATACTATATAGATAGATAACATTAATATAATACAGTAAAATAAGAAGTTATTTTAGATTTTTAGATTAATTTTTTCTTTGATGTATTCATTTGATTTTTTTTTATATTGCTTGATATGAATTTGGATCATTATCAAGCCATTCGTTAGAACTTTTACTTTTTGTTATGCTCTTGTTGTTTCATTAAATAAATTTTTGTGCAGCAGCATTATGGGCACGTTTTTTCAGATAATATTGGAATTAGAAAAATTGTTTTATGTTTCAAAACTACAATCATTTCAATAGTGAATTTCATTCCTTGAATGATTTTATCATGAGTTTATTTATTTTATTTTATTGCCATTTAAAATATTCTCAATTGATTTTATTATTTATTTATCATTTATTTATGTTCAAATTTTTTTGATCTACAATAATTCGGTATAAAGCGACCAGCACAGTCATTCCAAATAAGGAATTTCCAATACAACGATTTAGGAAAAAAATAATTGGCTAAATTTTATGCAAATCTTTTTATTGAAAAAATAATGCTTACCTTTCTATGAAGAAAACTTGGCGAGAGATTTATTAAATGGTCATACAACTACCAAAATTATGTGATACGTGTATTTTTAACTGCATTACAAGCTCAATAAAAAATAATTAATAGCTTCATAATCATCAAGTTACCATAAAACTTTATAGCTTTTCATAATGACTAAATACACAGTTAACTTCTCTATAATAATAATAGATCTTTCTATAATAGATCTGTCTATATAACAGACAGAGGAATTAAGCCAAGCTTATATGTCCCATATATAAATCATTACTGTCTATAACAGGTTCTCTCTATAACAGACATTTTTTGTAAGCCAAATGGGCCATTATGCTGTTTGGTTTTATTAACCTGTCACTCATTCATCAGGAATCTTGTCATTGAAATTATAAAATTAATGAATAACATCATTAACAATTTATAAATAAATTTACTCATCTATTGCGTGTAATATGACCACAGTTCATTCTCTCTATAATGAACTTCACTTTTGATTTATTTTTTATGATTAATTTCTCTCTATTTAATAATAACGAACATCTTATTAAACACTCTCTATAATGAATAAAAGCAATAAAGTTCGTTATAGAGTGAACTGTATAAATAAACTTATCCAAATCTTATATAGTAAAAATAAATAAATAGTTCTAATATGATTGAAACTATAAAAATATTCAGAAACACTTAGCAAAAGAATATATTAATTTATTAATATATATAAAAAATACATCAAAAATGTTCCTTTGCTATGGATCTTGACGCATGTCTCCAAGATCGATCACTTTTAGTTTCTCGTGACTTCAAATCACTCTCAGGATGTTCTTGAGCAAGTGAAGCAAATAAACATGGTAAAGTACTGGAAGTTGGTTTTGATGTTTCATTCACTAGAATTAGGAAAAAAGCTAACTTCTTGTTACGTAAACCCGTATGAATTGATAGACGAGGGGTCGAGTTTTTCCAGAATCAATTTCCAAATTTGGAAATCTCTTGATAATATTAATATTAATATTAATATTAATATTAAATGTTCATCTCATCATACGAAATAGCAATGTTTATTATAAATAACAAAAGTTTTTACTTATTAAAAAACAAGGACAAGACTTTTTGTTCGTTATAACGAAAATCCATTATAACAAGACATCGGGTCCTGTCATATGATTATTAATCTGACCAATCAGTGAATAAAACAAAATTTTAACGAAAAGTTCAGCTCAGATTTTAAAAAAAAGCATCAAAAAGAATTAAGAAATGATGTAACGGTAATTAGTAACATTCCCTTTTTATATATGTGCACGAAATTCTTTGTATGAGTTTAATATAAAACTACATTATAAAATTCAAAGTAAATATCAATCGCCGATATAAATCTTTACTATATATGCTATAAGTTTGTTTAAACGTAATTAATTTATTTTTCTAAATAGAATTTTTAATAAAAACATTTTAAATTTCGCGTAACTTTTAATATTAAACATAATGGCCCTTCCTAATTTGGTATGTAGCACCGAATTTTTGAATATTCGAATAATCGAACACGAACGAAATAATAATAATAATAATAAATATCCATAATAATAATATTACATATAATAATAACTGAATAAAGTCAATGATTGGCAAATTTTTTGACTTGTAATAGGCGATCTGCACTTATTATACATTCGTCTGAATGAATGATCTATTATATGGGGCATGCTGCAACAAAATCAGACAAAGTGAACATTGGTATTATCAAGAATTTCAGGGATCAAAATTTAGTCATCACTATCACTAATGTAACATGATCATGATATTCATCTAGATAAAAATAGTTAATATGAAATTAATTTACATCATTATGTCAATCATACCACCACATCAATCATCTTATCCATCACAATTAATTCATTCACCAAACTCGTCACATTTAACTCATTCATCTCCAAATCCAACTTACCCAGGAAATAGTTATAAATATGATAATCAATCAAGATTACAATAAGATTTAATTATTTATAACAAAAGTTGAAGAATATTTGTAAATTTTTTATGTAATTATTTTTTAAAAGAATGATTTCTTTACTGTAATAGTGATAGTAATTATAATTATTATAATTATTTATTTATTTATATAATATTGCAAATAGTTTTTTCTTTGATGCTCAAATAAAGAAAATATATACATGTAAGATTAAATTTAAATTTTAATACAAATAAAAAGAAATTAATAATGATGCAATATTAATGCTAATAATATATATCTATCTTTTAATTTTACTTTTTTTAATAATGTTAGAAATTAATAGAAACTTGAGATGCAATAATACAATAATATTATTGTTATAATTATTGTTGTTATTAAGTTTTAACCTTTTTTTGCAATGCTGATGTGAGCTGCTTTTGCAATACGCCCAAATTCTAAACTGTTTTCAGTATCCACTTGAGATGATCTTACCGGGGAAATATTAACTAACATCAACACCTTGGAATTTCCACCTACATATGTATAATATACATATATACACATACATGCATATATTTATATATTATTATTATATAAATAAAAACAAGTTTAAAAAAAATCCATATACAACATAACAATAATGGTTCACCTAATGAATTCTTCAAAAC